TCTGATTTATCTTCCAAAGGCAAGTGTTTAACAGGATCATTACCACTGTTTATTAGTTGCCATATATTTTCTAGCACTGGGTTTGTTTGGAGTAGCTCATATCACCATAGTGGGAATGTCCACGGGATCAATTATGTTCAGTTTTTGCTAAAGCTGATTTATCCCAGACTCTGGTTCTGGGTTGCTTTGCATGATGACAGTAGGGGAGGCAGCAACTTAAACCTTGTCTGTTCTCTGTAGCTCTTTTTTTAACCAATTTTTACCAGTTCCGACTCACGGCAACCCCATGTGTGTCAGAGTAGAACTGTGCGCCAGGCCTTTCTTCTGAGGCACCTGTGGGTGGACTCAAACCTCCAACCTTTCAGTTAGTGGCCAAGCCCATGAACCGTTTGCACCACCCAGGGACCCCTTGCAGCTCTTAGAATTTTTAAAAAGGCTCTAGGCCAGAGTAGGGGTAAAGGATGGTACTAGCTTGCTCTGGGGATGGCACGGCCATCTTTGGACGGCGTCAGCTTGCTCTGTAGCTTTGGGAAAGCCTCTGAGTTTCTTTGCATTTCAGTGCTTTCATCTGCCAGGTGAAGGGTTTGGTCTAGAGGGTCTCCTAAAACCCCTTTCAACTCTAGAAGAGTCTGTGCCTTGATAAGTCGACCCCCCGTTCCATGGATTATCTGCGAAGCTCTGAAAAATTGATGTCAGCTTCTTTCCGCCACTCAAGGCAATCTCCACTACTTTAAACAATTACTCAACCAGTGTGCGTCAAAGGAGTGAAGGCATTTGACTATTAGCCTATATAGAACTTAATTTGGAAGGTAAAATCACTTTTAAACTTTAGGAAATCAATTTAAAAATGAGTGTTGAATCACTTCCTGATTATGTGTTTTTCTGATTTCTCCACCCCGTTGTTCCCCTTCCTTAGCAAGGCTAATAGAGAGCTCATCTGGGCAACAAATACTGAATAATTGCTCCATCCAGGACACTGCTTTTGATGGTCTTTTCCTACAGCAGGGCTCACAGAGCTGACTGGTCTACCTCGGCCCCCATCCCATCTAGATGAGACATTTTCATTCTTTCTGGGAATTTCTGAGACACATGTAGTTTGCCATGGGGGGTGCCAAGGTTTTTGCTGGGAGACTCTGGCCCAGAGCCAATGACTATGTATGGATAATGGTTGGCAGAAGGGAAATCGCTTTCTGCACGCATGAATTTGTTCTTTGTTATTGCTGTTGTAACAACTGGTTCTGTCACTCTGAATGTGATTTTGGAGATAGATGATGCAGATTTTTTTTTAAGCAAGGCATAATTAAGTAATTTTTAGGAACCCATTCAACGTTGTACATGTCAGTGATGACTGTCATATGGTTACAACAGGGTAGCAGGTGTACTCTACAAAAGAAGATGTCACGTATCCGTAAGAGTAAACCACCACAGTCTGACCAAGATGAGTGGGGAACCCTTTATCAAATTGACCTAGCCAAGACTTGAGCCTAGCTTCACTTTTCTCTTTTCCTTTGTGCTTCTCCTACCATTGAGGTGACTATGGTCCTACTTGGTCAGGTCCCTGGACCTGCCACTTATTATCTGTGTGACCTTGAGCAAACTACCTTATTACGAGGAGATTCCATCTTCTTTTATCTGCAACTAGGAATAGAAAACAACATCTGCCTCACAGGGTTGTTGCGATGATAAAATATCAAATGTAAAGTTCCTAGGTTGGTCCCTGGCGATAGTAGGTGATCAATAAATGTTAGTTCCTTTCTGTCCCATAGGGTTTCTAAGGAGCAGCTGGTGGATTCTAACTGCCGATGTTTTGGTTAGCAGCCCAGCACTTAACCACTGTGCTGCCAGGGCTCCTCTTCCTTTTTAGAGATAAGGAAATTGATCAGACCAATGTGACATTGATTTGCTGGTTGTTTTCAAATATTTCAAAAGCTGTCATATATGACAGAGGAAAGACACATTCTTTGGTGTTCCAGAGAGCAGAACTAGAGCTAATAGGTAAAAAATGGAAGGTAGACAGATTTCATCAACATA